ATGTAGCCTGCGAAATTTTAACATTTACCCTATTTTTTGAATAGACCTTGAATACTGACATACATATTTATATTTTTTATTCATAACTTCATAACATAAAATATTTTTTAAAGGGCGTTAAAACGGGTTGTTTTTTAAATTAATGAAAAAGTTTGGTAATAAGTAATAAATTAGATTCTTGTACAACTAGCTCCAGTCATTATTTAGGAATTGTTTGAGATTTTTTATGAAGATATCTCAGACTCTATTGGAAATTAAAACTTTATACCTCGATTACATGTTAGATCATATATTGTTGAATTCAATGATACTAAATATTTCCAGTTTCTATTAACTGAGTTAAAGAATCTTACAATGGGCCTGAACCAAATATGTCTAGTTTGAACAAAATCTCAAAAAAATTTGAAAATAAATAAGTGACAATAAAACAGGAAAAATCAACTGATGAAATTATGTCACAATATGACAAATATACTGGAAACTAGCTCTCTCAAGGTTACTGTTATGTGATATCTTTGGGACTTCTGAGGAAGATTTTCTATAGCAGGCTACAGGCATTATGACAAAAAGGAAAAACCACCCATCAATGTATAACTGAAAATATTCGAAAGCCCTGAAGACAACTGGAAGGAGAAATCCCACTATTTCATCTGTTTATGCATACAAACATAATTATAATCACATTTAAGCATACATACAGTGCTTTTCTGTTATGTCCCCCCCTTTTATTTTTTAAAACGGCCAACTCAAAAAATTGAAATTAGAGATAATGAAATTAATGCATGAATACTTTATTTTGAAGTGAAATTGACAGATGAAACTTCCAAGATGGCGAAAGGTCAAAGAACAATTCAATCGATGTTAATCTTTATAACTTGCTACTTTCTTGGGTCAAAGAACTAAATTACCACAAATCAAAAAACCATGAAAACTCATTTAACTGATAACGCTTTTTACTCTATAAAGGAATATATGGATCATGCGCATGCCCTGTTACCTGTGAAATGAGAGACCAGTTCAGCATTGAGATCACTTACACTGTAAATTTTCCTTCTCTTCTTGAAATGTTTTGATGCTTTTATTTTAACTTTTATTTAAATATTATTTTGACACTGACAATGTTTTACTATTGTGTATATTTTAATAACATAGTTTTAATACCTATATTGTATCTAATATATTGTGTTTTTTTTTATACACAATATGAGGAATCTTATTTGTGCTTTCTAAATGAACGATGAATGTACACCTAAAAGATTAATAAACTATTTATCAACCATAGAATATAATGTCAATATCTTCAACTACTACAAAATGGCGTAACTTTAACAGCCTATCCGATATTTCACGCCGAACACAGTAACGTCAATATCTCTACAAATATTCATTATTCTCTGCCGTATATCCAATATTGAAGCAGGTTCAGTTTCGTACACCTTTTGCTTCAAATAGACCAATAAAAAAAGTCCAAGGGTGTCAAATCTGGCGAGCGGACTGGCCAATCTGTAGGACCTCGATGGCCAATCCAACGACCGGGAAAAGTAGTATCCAAATAGTTCCTTACTTGTCTGGAGTAATGTGGTTGTGCTACATCTTGTTGGAATACAATATCCATATCGAATTCATTAGGATTCGCTTCAACGATTTCAGTGATAAGAGGGTCAACAGTAGTTTCCAGCATATTCAAACACAGTTCCCCTGTTGAATTTTGATCAATAAATAGAGGTCCTAAAATATGGTTTCTCAATATTCCTGCCCAATTTTTCTGGATATTGGGTATGTGTTTCCCGAAAAACAGGGGGGGGGGGCATTAAAGAAATGCACTGTATATACATCCTGTAAAAAATATTGTTTCAAACTATCGTTATTACTAATGTTACGTCTATGCATGGGTTCTTATTGATGAATAAAAATCTCGCACTTTATTGCAAGATTTTCACTGGACAATTTACAAAACCACAACACGTCTTTCGCTACACAATAGCTTTCACAAGCGTTTTGTATATAAATGAGTCCTTCATAGATTTTTCGGTTGATTTTTTTTATGAAATATGTACCTCTAGATTGTGTGCTAAACGTCTGATCAAAAGGAGATTTTCATTAGATGCTGTGATCCACAGCATCAAATACAGTACAAGAAATTAAAATTTTTCCAAATATTATATCTGTGGTATCACATCATCACAGTCATTAGCGCCCAGTATGAAGTGTTTAGAAGAAACAAAATATAAAAAACAATGTGTGTGAGGTTGTTGATTGATTTGTCAGAAATTAATATAAAGAGTTGTCAAAACTTCTTAAATATATTTCTATTGAAGAAGTTATTAGTAGCTAACTACATATCTATTGATATTCAGAATTTATGTTTTATTTATTCCCATTGATAGATTATTATCAGACCCTTGCATAGAGTGCACTATTTTCTCTTGTGATCTCGCAGTCAAGAAACACACAGAAAGGGAATTTCAACTTCTAATTGTTTTATAGTTCCATTCCAACATTTTGTTGCTTGGATACTCCAAACTATAAATCTAATGATCTCCTCGTATTATCAAGAAATGAAAAGTATGATTTGGGTTTTTTACAAAGAAGATAATAATGTAATTGAATCAGTCATTTGAGAAACTCCACCCTACCTGTTGATCAAGTATTCAATGTATTCTTTCAATGAATCATTAAAGGAAGATATGCTATTGTTCTGAAGAAAAAATGAAAATTTGGAGCATGTAGTTATTATAAATTGAAGTTCTTTCTCTAGTTCGTCCTTCTTTTCATTGATGATCTTTAGAATTTGTTTCATGTTTTCTACTACTTCCTCGGAACTAGATGAATTTCTCTTATCGGTTTCTTCTTCCTCTTTGGCCTTTATTAAATAATAGACGTGCATATGGATTCCAAAATCACAGCCACATTTTGGACAATTAGACGATTCAGTGGCTGGATCTAGAGCTGATACTGGAATACCAATCATTTCTTTTGGAACCGTTGTCAAACTGGAAGGCTGACATGGCTTGTAGACCCACTTATTGTTTCCATAGACCTGGAAAAAATGTTGAAATGAAATAAAGATAGATCTGTCACATAACTATACTATAATATATTTATCCACTAGAACAAATGACAGTGGTAATTATATAATACATAATATTTTAAGTAGGTAGGTACATGGTTTTGATATTTTTGTACATAATTTACATAGTATTATATCATAACATGAAATATAAATGAATAAATATGATTGATAATCCACAAAAACATATGCTTGTCATGGAACAATGAAATAAAATAATGATAGAAAATGATAAAGGATAGAGATGTATACATGTTGACGAAAAGAACAATTACCGTATACATATACATACATATATACACACACATATACATACATACATACAGGGTGATTCAAAAGTACTTTGACAAACTTCAGGAGGTGATTCCTCACAATATTCTAATATGAATTGTCCAAATAAATAAATGTCCGGAAGCGCTTCGTTTCCAAGATACAGGATGTTGAAGTTTTATTTTTATTTTCGTTTTTTTCAAATAACTTTTGAAATACTGAACTTAATTAAACGAAACTTGGTAATAGGAGGTTTTTGAGGTGTCGAATTCGAACCTGATGTTCTTATTGCTCTTACTCGTAGGGGGCGCCACCTACACGTCTTTTTCTTTTTTAAAGATTCATAACTTTTTTGGGCGTACTTCTAGCACATTTTTCAG